AGTGAGTTACCCCTTGACGCTTACTCATGTTTTCAGATTTTTGTGATTTATGTTATGTTTATTGGTAAACCGTGGTTTTACGTATCATTGAGTATATTCATACTCAAATTTGGATAAAATAAACGTGAATGTTTTTACCCAACAGTGCACTATGAGCTGTTTACTTAATTTTAGGTACTTTTTACATTGTATTTGGTACTTATTTCTTACCGTATACTCCCGTCAAATCATAATATACGCGTGTATCACCGGTATATTCCAACTACTCTCACCTATAGGTATGAAATCTATCTCTCCGTTGACTCTTTCTCCTCTCAAATATAAGAGGCGAGCTCCCGTATTTGCAGTCCCGAGAGCAGCACCAGTATTTTGTGTACCACTCTGAGATTTTAGCCCATCCCTGTTTTTGGCAACACGCGATTTCTGTCTCATTTGCATTCTATAAAATGTATTGAACGCTAGTTCATGATAAAATGTCCAGAAAGCACTAATATATATCTGAGGAAAGTAATAGCTGATGGACTTGTGTTGCCAAAAACGGGTAGGCATTGCACCTGGAAAATTGCTGGACAATCATGGAATGTCAGGGAGTTTTGTTTTCTTAATTGAGTCGAGACCCTGAATGCCATTTTAGTCACGTTGCACAGTAGTCCTACATCAGAGGACTGGCAACCTCATATCAATCCTATACGTTTGACAGTAGGCAAGATCACGGGCCTTATTTAAATACTGCCCGCCTGACGTATACATGAAGGAAGGGACGCAAAATCGTGTTGTAAGCAGAAAGACAAGAGCAGATGAAAGCATCAAAAACATGGCCGCCAGCGAGGCCCCTGTCCTACATACTTAGAAATTACCACTGACTTCGGTATTTTTTACCGAAATCTCAACAGCTCGATAACAGATTAGTAACATTTGGGCAATTAAATTCAACACGGCAAATGAGAACGACCCAAATTTGAGTTTAGTTCACTCATAATCGCCAAAAGTGCAGGAACTCAGCGATGAGTAAAATTTGTCATTTTCAGTTTGCTCTCACTGATAGCAGAAATATTTTTCAATTTGATGTCACAGGAAGATTTGTTTGCTCTCAATTGTGATATTTTAACCGTTAAAAAGACCAAAACGACAGCAACCTGAGCAATCATTATCAGAGAAATCACAACATCAAACTTTTAGAAAAAATCTATATCTTAACGTTCTCATTTTAGCTTAATTTTATAGAATTGAATTAGACTGGACCTGTAAAATGTTGGTTTTAGCTGTAATTTTGTTTGTTTAAAATTTCTCATGGAAGTTGTCTTTACGAAACTGTTTGAGCTTGTTAAAATATAATTTTTTGATGGAGAAAGCGAATTGATATTTCTTAAAGATCATGAGATATTAATAAGTCAGCTGGGGCAACTACACATAAGTTTTCGAATGTTTTTAAATAGCGAGGGACAAGAGGGGAGCTCATTGAAATACATAGCGTTATAAATCAATTTGACTAAGTTTATTTTTTAAACTTTAAAAAAGGGATACGGACAAAATGTGTGTCTTAAAAGGTTATTAAAATCATGAAAAATTTTAAATAAAAAGTAAGTGCTAATTTTTTTTTTCAAGAACACCTTAAGTGATTTCCGAAAATAACTCTAAAACGAGAACGTAAAGATATAGAATAAATGCTTCTGTCACAAAGTTGCTGGATCTTTTAGGCACAGCAACTTCACCAAAGATACCAAATGTCTAAATATTGAAACAAAAGTACTAGCACATTTTATTTTAATTTGTCGTTAGGGTGGCCTTCTGCCTGTGACTTTATTATTTCTGATTTTTCATGAAAGGTTTTTCCGAGAGATTTTTAAAGCTTATTAATGCATGTTTAAAAAAAAAGCGTCTGTATTTTTTTTAAAATAAAAAAGCACCCAATTATATAGTAAAAAATGGACAGATTCGAATTAAAATCACCAGTTTAAAATATAGAACATTTGAAAAGGGCGTATTTTGTAAAGTAAATCCTTAAAATCGCGTGATTTTTAAGAGACATCAATTTACTTTATTCGAAAAAAAAAAATGTGTACTTGAACCCAATAGTTTTTTCAAAACGCTTTTCACGAGAAGTTCACGAGTAGTTTTTTCAGGTACACCCTAATTAAATTCTGATAAATTGCTCTAAAGTGACAATGTTAAGAGATAGGTAAAACTGTTTTTCTAGAAATTGCTTGAATTGAACTCAGCTACAACTTTGCTTAACAACATAGGGTAAATGATGGCTACGGCACTATGCAAATGAAAACAAAATTTGTTATAAAATTTGTCAATCGCGTAAATTATGCTTTCAGTTTCATGTTAATATAAAATTTTTATTTCGATTTGCTGTCATTTTGATGCTGGAATTTGCTCGGGAACTCCAGCATCAAAATGACAGCAAAACGATATCAAATTTCGATATCAACGTCAAACTGAAATCATAATTTTATTTCAGTTTACGCAATTGACACATTTTATAACATGTTTTGCACATTTGCACTTTAAAAATGTGTTGTTGTTTACATTACCTTAGCAGAACATCAAGTTGAATACTCGTTTTGTTAACAACAGAAAAATGTACATCAATTTGAGTTTTCAGTCTCCTCTCACTTAAAGCAGAATTAGTTTTCAATGTGTTATCAGACCTTACTCGGGTTTGCTCGAGAAGGCTATCTCAAGAGCAAATTTTCATTACGTCGTAAGTAACATGCGCACCAATCCGAGAAAAATAAAGTTTTGTTTTGATGACCGAAAAGTTATTCCTATTTCCAAGTAAACACATATAATCTCATAGTGATAGCAATGTTTAACATATTAAGCAGGGTTTTAATCATACAAATGCAAATCGCTAGCTTTCATGCTAAAAATACTGGTTTTTGAGTCAAAAGTTATTATACGTCGTTTGGTGGCCCCTATTGTTACTTAAGTTAAAGTGTATTTACCAGGATATTCGGGAGAATTATCAATTACGTCTCCTTACGTGCAGCCCATTCATCATTTTAGGACTACCGAAATCATCTTAGCAACAAACAGTTCGATTTATTCACTTTAATAATGAGAAAGCGAAACGACGAACGTACACTTTTCACGGGTTTCTCAGCGCTGTTACTTAAGTCAAACGGCATCTCCATAGAAATTGGGTGACTTAAGTAACATCGAAAACTATTTTGATCGGAAGGTGATTACGTCAAAAAGCAATTTGACTGGCAAATAAATTTAAAAATGGGATTTGATCCTATATTCGGACAGTATATAGTGTAATAGCAGGAGAATCGATTGACACTGATAGCTCGACTTTGTTTACCTTTGTTACATTCGACGTAATGAAAATTTGCTCTTGATCTGAGGTAGAGTCGGTGTATAATGAGTCACGCCAAGAGTGAAGCCAAGTCTACCTATTGAACTGTCAAACCGGCTACCTATCATGCAAAGTAAACAAACATTACGATGCTATGAAAGGTCCACGAAAGGTATAGCAATAAAATATAAAATAAAATTGAAGAAATGATCATAAACACGCAGTGAGCATTAAATTGTCATGGGATACGTTTGTTAATGATCAGTAATGAAAATTTCTACTGTTGTTTGATAAGAGAATTTGACAAAATCACTGATATAATGATTCACTACAGTCGCAATTTTTTGTTCTCGCTAGAAGTCATTTGAAGTTGATGTAGAAGTCCTCTGTTGCCAAGTGAAAAGAAAGGGAATCCTTCGAAAACCGTGATGCGAGTTCAACTGTTCTGTTTCAACTGGCGTGACTCATTATACATCGACTCTAATCTGAGGCCCCCATACTGATCTATCAATAGATTGATTCGTTGAATTTGAACACTGAAGTTGGCTAGAGAATCCCATGCTCCATCAATTCTCTGTGCACTGGGCAGTTCCTCTAGTGTTGATCACGGATCTTTCGTACAGTCGAGTCGTTTAAATTGGTCTCAAATGAAATACGTCACCTTCCCACCTCATAAAACACAATCATCGTCAGCTTCTCCAGTCAGTTTTTAAACTTGAATTTTAAATCACAATCAACAGTTAGCATAGCGCAGCAAACTGTTCGGAGATCATGCATTCATGCACATTGATACAACAAACACACCAAAAACCGATCGGGATATGGCTTTCGTTAGAATGCAGCGTTCAGAGATTGGATAGAGGAAAAGAAAAAAACAACTGCCGAAGACTTTCATTCAGTGGTTAAAACCGGTGGAAAAATCGCTCTCTCTCTATATCGCTATAATGTAATGAAGGTTCGTATGAAATGGGTCATCCACTTTCAGGGTTCAGGCACTTTTGGATTGTGTGGCAAGCGATAACAAATAGGGTATAGAACAAAAACGTTACATAAATCGTAGTTGGATGTTGGTTATTGTTACATGGAAGATAAGAGAAATATTACGATCGCTTTTTTATTTTTAACATGAGGTAAACCGTATTTAGGACGAAGGAAGTCGGCAGTGCTTTCGCATACACTTTTGTTTTAGGGTAGAAGTAGAAGAGCCGCGAACAGCTTGCAGCAAAGTAGTTGCGGACAGCATATTGTTTAGGCACAGACAAGAAGGGGTTTTACATTAAAATAGTAGCAGACATGTAACATTCAGATTGAGGTGGATTTGGTTTTTTGATTCTGGTTTGGTTTGACTCTGAAGATACCTGATGTGCCCGCCCGAGACATTTCCTTTCGCTTGCGAACGTTTTCAGCTGAACAAAAACTTCGGCAGTAAGAGGGTGATTGGTGTTTATCTTGTTGTTTGAACCGGTTGAACCAAAACGAGCGGTACACGGATAGACAGAAATTCAGTTGTTTGTTTTGTACAATTGGTAGTTTGTGTGATTTTTTTTTCGGAAGGGATATTGGAAGTAAAGAGATAAGATATTAACGCGTGATACAATGTGAATCATTTTGGAGCTGTGCTGGTGTGCTGTAACAATATATATATATGGGGCATGCAATCGTGACGTGGGGAATATCGTGACGAACTTACAGAAGTAGACGGCAAGGTATTGAGTATCTTCAACCATGGCTTCCAGCATCACTCGGGTGATAAGTTCGATGCGATCTTCGGTTTTCTGCGTGATAAGCCATTGGAGCACTTCTTCCTCCTCATCCAGGGAACCTATAGAAGGGAAACGGTTAGCCATCGTTGATTTGAGGTTATGAACACCATACCTTCGAATACATTGGGAATATTATCTTCAAAATAGACCAAAACTGGATAATCGGTGATTCCGTAGTGTTCTGCAATCGAGAAGTCGTCCGTCTTGACGAACATGATTCCATGCCGGTCGCAATCGTCGTCGATGTTTTCCAGGGATTCAAGAACACTCGAACACTGTTCACAGTTGTCAGCGTCTACAATGCAGAAAGGACTTTGAAAGTTTGCGCAGTTTGACAAAGAAAAGTCTCAACAGAAACAAGGAAACGAGGTCACACCGCTCCAAAAACAGAGCAAGGGTTAGAATTGCAAATCAAATCAAAGTAGATGCGCAAATGAGTTGTTTGACTTCGATGATGGGTGGATAGGGTAAGACAAGCTAGAGAGTTTTTTTTCGGTATACAGGTCGAGGAAGGTCAAGCGGATCCGTTAATACCATCAGACGGCGCTCCAGTCGATGATTCTGCGTCTTCGGCTTCGTCCTGCGCTTCGGCAGAGGTATCGGCATTCAGGAATCCTCTGCGCTCTTTAGTACGCTCTTTGGCCTTCCGCATTTTGCGCGCGAGCTTAGAACTGCAGATGTCACAAGTCGTCTTGTTCCCTACAGTATTTGTTAGTTGTTGTAGTGCCGCAGATGTACGTTTGTGCAATTGTGCAATAATATGTGTGTGTCATTGTGCAACGTTGGTGTAGTTAAAAATTAACCGAAACAAGTTACATTTGTTTTATAGAGTTTACTACAGTGTGCGATAGCGTTCGAAAATCTACTTACAGAAGTAAACAGCTAACGCGCTGGAGTCTTCGATGAGGGCGAGCAATTTCGATCCTTCCAGGTCCTCGATGACGTCACCACCGGGATTTTTCTGCGTCATCAACCAGTTGAGGATTTCGTCTTCGTTGTTCAGGTCACCCGCGTAGATCACCGGATCCTTGGAGCCGAGCTTGAAGAACACGATTCCGGGCAGGGCATAGACACCCAGTTCCTTGGCCATCTGTTTGTCGTCGATCTTGACAAAGTTGATTCCGGCACCGTCGGCTTCGTCGTCGATGTGTTCGATTTCTGCGAGCACCCGGGGGCATTGCTTGCAGTCTTCGCTGTCTGATGAGAGGGGAATGTTTTTTTTTTGGTTAGAGATGTATCGTCCAAAGGAGTACGACATAACGTGGGATAGCTTGCAACACTTACAGTCGATGACATTTCAGTTTTGTTTATGGTATAGCTTAAATTACATAAGAAAGAACTTTAAAAATATGATTTTTTTACTATATGATGGCGACATTATGTTTGGTCCTCTAAACCACTTATTAGGGAATTAAGTGTAAAAATATAGTGCATTTTTAGAAACGATTTCATTTGCGTTAACTTTGCGCTATCTGAAGAACGCATCATTTGGAAATTTAATGTTTTTAACTTGTCAAGCACCTTTTTAATTAAAAATGTTTTACAACTATCCGGGATCAACCCGAATTCTCGGTAAAGTAGGAAATGCCACTATCTATCGACATAATTTTACACTTTACTTAACGTATATTACTGTAAATTGATAGTACTAAGTATATATGGTGTTAAGACACCAAATAAGCCCTCAGGTAAACTCTACTGGCCTAAAGGAGGATCCGGAATGACCGATAAAGTGACCACAATATAAAAATTGTCCTAGAACCTTTCGATTTTTTCTATGATGTTCAGAATCAAGAGATCAAAGCGTATTTTATATGGAAACTATATATTGGGGTATAGTGGCCATATTCTGGTTCTCCGTATAATCTGGATTGACCGATAAAGTGGCCACATTATAAAAATGATCCTAGAGCCTTGGGATTTTTTCTATGTTGTTCAGAATCAAGAGATCAATGCGTATTTCATATGGAAACTATATTTTGTGGTATAGTGGCTATATTCTAGTTCTCCGGATAATCTGGATTGACCGATAAAGTGGCCACATATAAAAATTGTCCTAGAACCTTGTCGATCGATAGTGGCGTTTCCTACTTTACCGGGAATTCGGGTTGATCCCGACCCTCTATCTCGGCACGCAAAAGTCTCCGGTCAATAAGACCATCACCAATCGATTCAGCAGATTTTTTCCTTTATCATGTACGATGTACGATGACTGCCCAGACAACCAGAAGTCGCATAACAATGTACAGAGAGTATCGGAAATAACTACAGTTTAAGTCAACATAGCATAGAAGTATGACATACATCGCATTGTGTTTAAGTTAAATCGTATAAAATGCAAATTTGCGACTTATATGCGATGAATCATTTTTCCATCGTACTGTACCACAAATTAAATCGGATTACATCGTAAGACTTTTCAAATTGAATTTGTTATGACAGATTTAACCGTATATGATGCCAAATCAACTCGTTTAATAAGAAATTGAAATTTGCACTATATGGCCTCCACTTTTGTAGGTATAAGCCCTTTTTTTGCATTCTATACGATTTGATTGTTTGTATATATGTTTGTATATCACAGAAACAACTTTGAATATACGTGCATTCTGGTTGTCTGGGTGAAACCGTTTGGCAGCCGAGATATTCAATTTAGTCGCAGTTTTGTCAATTTTTGCCCACTGTGCAGTGGTTCTCAATTTTTTATCTATGGTGACCCTACAGAATTCCATAATTCCTACCCTTATATTGAATACCGATGTTGTAAAGCCAACATCACATTCAGAACTCCAAAACGTCAAAAGCACTGTAAAACAATTATGGAAAGCACCTCAAAACTCGACTCTAGGCCAACTTGCAACGCCAAAATGAGCTTACCACCCAAAAAATCCGTTAAAATTTGAAAAATACCCTCAGATAGCTTTTTTTAAAGCATCATGAAAACTCTCCAAATAATTTTAAATGGCTGAAATAAAATTTGAAACGTCATAAAGCCAAAAAAAAAAAATACAAATAATGAGTTCTACGAACATTTCAATACTCGGACTAAAGTGCGATTCCAGACGAGTTCGCAAATCCATTAAGTTTCGTATTTTTTAATTTGGCTGAAGAGTTTCAGAAACGTTCCTCATGACCAAAAATGCAATTTTGCATCTTCAGATCACTATTTTAAATCGAGTCTTAATTTTGAAAAGGGCCTAAGAAAAATATTAGGCTTATCTTCAAAAAACTGTTACTCGAAAAAAAATTGTTCAATCGGTTTGGGACCTAGGGTAATGTTTTTTTTTATATCTTTATTAAGGAGACTTTCAGCCGTTGGCTGGCTCGTCTCCGCCTAGGGTAATGTTGTAGGGAACATCTGTAACTATTGAAAAAAAAAAAAAAATTGCACTCAAAAAAAAAAATCACTATTTTAAAAAAAATTAAAATAAAAACTTTTTCTACTTGACATGTGATGTGTGATGGTTGCACGGATGTGTTTTCCAATGAACATTTTCAGAAAATTACGTCACGTTGCACTGCGGAAAATATGCCTGATGAAGCTTCCTCGAATTCGCTGAAGGACGACATAGCTGGACTGAAGGAAATGGTCAATGCCCTTTCTGCAAAAGTTCTGCCGCACTTAGCTTTGTTACTTTCAAAGTTGGAGTGAGCAAGAATCTCAGGGACGTGGCCTTAGTAAAAAAGACATGGCCTGAAAACATTTAAAGGGTGATACGGTCAAAATTTGGTCAATATCAAATTGACGTATTTCTTTCAATTTTGCATTTAAAAAACCTGAACACCCCTCATTTTGAAGGTGTGTGTGTGTAGAATGTTGCTCCTATTTTGATTTTGGAATTCACTCTTCAGTTGTCAAAATGCCGTCCAAGCAAGAAGAGCAGCGTATCAAAATTTTGCTCGCGCATCGCGAAAATCCGAGCTACTCGCACGCAAAGTTGGCAAAATCGCTAAAAGTTGCCAAATCAACCGTTAAAAATGTAATTAAAGTGTTTGGGGAACGTTTGTCGACAGCCAGGAAGTCTGGATCGGGGGGAAATCGAAAACCGGAAGCCGCTGAGACGACAAAGAGAGTTGCCGGTAGTTTCAAGCGAAACCCTAACCTCTCTCTCCGAAAGGCCGCAAATAAGCTGGGTGTATCGTCTACAACCGTGCATCGAGCCAAAAAACGAGCCGGACTATCGACTTACAAGAAGGTAGTGGCTCCAAATCGCGATGATAAACAAAATACGACGGCCAAAGCGCGATCCCGGAGGCTGTACACGACGATGTTGCCGAAGTTTGACTGCGTGGTAATGGACGACGAAACCTACGTCAAAGCCGACTACAAGCAGCTTCCGGGACAGGAGTTTTATACGGCAAAAGGAAGGGGAAAGGTAGCAGATGTTTTCAAGCACATGAAACTGTCAAAGTTCGCAAAGAAATATCTGGTTTGGCAAGCCATCTGTACCTGTGGCTTGAAAAGCAGCATTTTCATAGCTTCCGGGACTGTCAACCAAGAAATTTACGTGAAAGAGTGTTTGAATAAACGTCTGCTGCCTTTCCTGAAGAAACACGGTTGTTCCGTACTGTTTTGGCCGGATTTGGCATCTTGCCATTACGGTAAAAAGGCCATGGAGTGGTACGCCGCCAACAACGTGCAGGTGGTTCCCAAGGACAAGAACCCTCCCAACACACCAGAGCTCCGCCCAATTGAGAAATACTGGGCTATTGTCAAGCGGAACCTAAAGAAGACCAAAAAAACTGCTAAGGGCGAGCAGCAGTTCAAGGCAAACTGGCTTTCTGCGGCGAAGAAGGTGGACAAGGTGGCTGTACAAAATCTGATGGCAGGGGTCAAGCGTAAGGCCCGGCAATTCGGATTTGGAAAAGCGGAAGTCTAACTGAATATTTTTCCTGAATTTTATACTAATTGAACTTGAAAAAGAAATTTAATTTGATTTTGTAAATAAACGATTTCACCGATTTACACGCGTTTTCCCTTGACCAAATTTTGACCGTATCACCCTTTACTTCCACGAATTTGAGATCAACTCAAACAACGTCGAGTCATTCGAATCGGTGCGAAGCCTCCTGCAGACATCAGTGATCAATAGGATTAGAACCAATAGATTCTCCGCTGATCATCTCTTTCGCTGAAGTCAACCCAGAACGCACTGCCTATAGCAGCATGGAAGTCCCTAGTTCTCCCGACTCAGTCGTGCATGCTGTTAGTTCCTGCCTCCAAAGTCGTTCTGAACCTGTGGTCGAGGAAGGTGTCGCGGTCTTCAAAAATCCTCTCACAAGCAAGTTTCTCGCTTGGAACAGAATTTCGTTGGTTGATCGTTCTTTGGCTTCTAGGATAATACAGTTTCGTTCAAACACTACCGAAAACGAGTTTGTCAATTCCGAATCAAACTTCAGTACGCTTCATCTGGAACATTTGGAAGCAAATTATGCTTCCGACTCAGTCAAGTTTGCCGTTAGTTCCCGCCGACTTAGTCGTCCCGGCCCTCAAATCTGAAGCGGAGACGGGATCCTCCTACCTGTGATCACAGGTTTGGAAACCGACAACAGATACTCCTTCGATCACTTCGGCAAGTTGATCAGCTTCATACCGGGACGCACCAGCTTGAGAATTCCGGAAGCCCCTGTTGCCCCCACCACAATCGTGTCTCTTCTGACAGCGTTCAGCAGCTCTGTGTTTGGGTCTGGTGAAGGGGTCCACTAGTTCAGGCAAGTACGCTCTCAGTAACATCCCGAGCAAAGTCTGAGATCAAATTGAAATCTAAATTTGAAGTTGTGATTTCGCTGATAATGATTACTCAGGTTGCTGTCGTTTTTTGTCATTTTAACGATTAAAATATCAAATTTGAGAGCGAAAAAATCTTCCTGTGACATCGCATTGAAAGCTATTTCTGCTATCAGTGAGAGCAAACTGAAAACTCAATTTGATATCCATTTTTCCTGTTGATAACAAAACAAGTATTCAATTTGATGTTATGCTAAGGCAATGAAAACAAACCAGCAACAACATTTTTTGAAGAGCAAATGTACAGTAAAATGAAAACCAAAATTTGGCATCAAATTTCCCGAGTTAAGTCCAGCATCAAAATAACAGCATATTGAAATCAAGTTTTGATATCAACATAAAACTGAAATCATAATTTGTGCCGTCTGGTGAGTGAATTCTGTGGTGAACTTTTTTCCACAAAATAGGT